TAGTAGCCTCTGCAGGCTCTGGCCCTAGTGGTTGGTGCGCTTCATCATCAACAGGCACCGCCACCTGTGGCTGTGGCACCTCCACACCCTCTGCAGTACCCGGCTGCGCAAGTTGCTCCACTTCACCATCAGTGGAGACATAGGCCCGCTTGCCTAGCCTTTTTCCACCCGATCACCATCAGTACACGGATTCTCTTCAACCCAGGGCTCTTCACTCTGTGCCCGAGTACTCAGTGTCTTTTTTACCCTGGTATAAGTAGCAGTCAAGTGATGTCCTAGGAATGAAGTAACATATAGAGGAAACTTCGACACTTACTTAGCACTGGATCTCTTCTTCAGGGTGGGCTTTCCTAGTAATATTCCACTAAATGATCGACCCAGCTCCAGGCTTGATACTGATGCTGACATCACTAAGTCCTTCTGATGACTTGTAGTGCTAGCACCCTGTCCAAGTGCGATCCCGTCACTCTGAGTTGGCACTCGGGTGCTCAACAGGTCTGGTGGTGGCATCCTGCCAAGAGCAAATAAACATCACCAAGTATACCTATGTTAGAATTCAGTAACAGAATTTTACTCGGAAAGAATACTTACTGTCTGATAGAAAACGAGGTGTCTTCCTCCTCTTTCAGCTTTTCCTCCACATCGTCATGTGCAGTAGCTGTTCAAGAATTGGATTTAACACAAGGTAAAATTCAGACTACATGGATATAGTTCAGACATCTTTTACTTAGTCTCAGTGTGCAAGCTCGACGGGGCCTCTTGGGCACTGCCCTGCTCCCGACGGCAACATCGGCCTCCAATGACCGTTTCCCGCCAGCGGCTCCCTGCCTGGCACTTGGGTTTGCCTGGACTATGACGACGTCCGGGCTCCCTTTAGATTCTCTCCCGACTTCCTGGTCCACAGGGATGGCGGAGGCAGTGCTCCCTCCGTCTGCTCCAGCACTTCGCTTCCTCTACAACTTCTGAGCCACCATATTTGCAAGCTTCAACCTCTGAACCACTTCACTTCTCCTACAACTAAGGTTCAAGTGCTCGCCAAGAGGGTTTTTATAGGCGTCTCAGTGTTGTGTATGGACCAGGTTCACGCGGAATACATGGACAAGCTACTAACTCCTACACAGGTTCACGTGCTACACTACAAGGGTACAGTGCATCCCACTACACATTTTCAGTGTACAGACAGCCTTCTTCCAACACATGTGAAGTCACAGTACAATCGGTACCACCTTTGATGGTATATTCCCACGAATATCCTGAGCATCTTTGGACCAATTGTACTAAAGCTTTGTATGTGACTTCGACATGTCTTACCTGCTTCTATACAAGTAGACAGGGCAATAATTTTTGCTGACACTCTCATCCTCGAGTACATTCTTTTCAGATCCTTGTCTTGAGTACAAATACTCAGACACAGGCTCGAGGGCTGCAGGGTACATATCATCTACGGATGTTTTTTCTTTTAGACCCTCTAACTCTTTGTTTTGCAAACAACAAGAGGCTCAGGGGCTACACTCAGTGACTACACTTTTCTGAAAAGTGCACATCACCTGGAGGCTTTATAGAGCACCTCATAGCTTCACTCATGAAAACACTCGGACTACGCTTGTTTCTACTTGGCAAGACCAAGAGGAACAAGAAGGCTTCCGAGTTCAACCATGACACGCTCGGGGGCTTGACGGACTAGGGTCCTAGGGGTTCCCCACGGGGGTACTACATGAATGGGCCCTGGGATGGCCCATGATCTGTTGAAGGACGCGAGACAAGGTGGCGTGGATTTCAAGCTATTCAGATCGACTTAGTCGGCTTATTACGAAAGCTAGATTCTGTAATATGATTAGGACTCTTCTCTTGTAACCGACTAGGACTAGATACGTGCCCTTACCCTCTCCCCTACATAAAGAGAGGTATGGTGCACCCCCTTGCAACCCTAACAATCATACAATCAATCCAACACAAAATGCTACACGCCGACTAGACGTAAAGGCTGTTACTCGACAAGAGGGCCCGAACTAGTATGAATCGTTCGTCTCTTTGCGTTTACTATCAAGTTCTGCGTACGCCAAAGCCCTTCGAACACCGTCCTAGGTACCCCCATGACGAGTTACCGGTCATCAAACACCGACACATACCCAGTGGCACCAAAGCCGGTTACGCTAGTTGACATAGCGCTGTTGTTGTAGTTGTCCCCCTTGGTGCAATGCAAAAGAGTTGCACGGGAAGTAGAGAGACTCGTGGATAGATCGAGCAGTCGTGTCACTTGTGGACGCTCCCCAAAAACCTGATAGTCGCCCTTCACCCGAGCAGATGAACGTAGAGATGGATTAGTTTCGAAGAGGTTTCGGAGGTCCGCTCTCTCTATTCGCGCAGATAGGACGGGGAGAATACTAGTTGCAATAGAAACAATACATGTGTTTGCACAAGAAGAAAAAACTGAATGACAGGATGAGTCTATTATCTCGCCCACTCTCACGGAAGTCCAAAGGTCTCACGGAAGTGGAACAATCAAGCGCTGGGGCCAGCTGTGCGGAAGACCAAAAGGCAGAAGAGCGAAAGAGATGCTCACAGAACAAACTCTTAGCGAAGTGGAACAGTGCTCACGAAAGAAACTCCTGGCGTTGGGGCCAGCCGTGCGGAAGACCAGAAGGCAAAAGCGAAAGAGACGCTAGCCATGCGGAAGACTAGAAGGCACAAGCGGAAGAGACGCTCATGGAAGAAACCCAGAAGGCAGAAGCGGAAGAAACGCTCATGGAAGAAACTACCGTCATCACTAGCAGAAACTTCGAAACTCTTGTCGTCAACTGGCTTAAGTGGCAAAACTAAACCCGCAGCCCGCACTAAATAAGTTGCGACATAAGACAAAAGGATGACATGGCAAGAATTTTATGAAGGGAGAGGAGATGAGTTTTCACTAGGATGAAGCTGAGTGCACAATTTCCAAGGCAATGGAACGTGTTGAAACTGACATTGAGGGCTAGAGAGTTTCATTTCATCTATCTTTACATGCTCAATCATGTTCGTCGTAATTAAATGTTATGAGTTATGAAACCGTGAAATGAAATTGAGCACTAAAAGAATCTATTTTATTCACTAGTTCTAACCCCTTTGTAGTTGATACGACAGTCTTGGAAACCATACAATGCAACTTGATACTAAGGATTTCTTCTCTCTCCTCAACTCGAATGTTGCATGATCGTTTTGCTTACATAGCACCATTAATGCTATAGAAACCATCATAGTTATCTCGTTAGGATTGCATGCCTTAGAGACATATACCATCTACTCCTCCCTCTCAAAAAAAAAAGAAGTGATGTTTTAGAATGTTTAGGACAAATTAGTACTCAATTGAAATTATTCATGTAACCCTATTTATTGAAGGTATGGTGATCCATACTACTCAAGGAATAAGCTACTAATTAAAAGAAATACATGGAGACATGCAGGCTACAATCTCAAGCTGGTGTGGATCCCAAGAACTAAAACATCAAATTTTTTGGGACAATTTTGAGCCCTAAACCAAGGGTTTATTGGACACAGGGAGTACAATGCATAGTATCATACTTTAACATCCAAAAGGCAATTAATTACTATGGTAAAAAATGTTATATTTTCAGGTAATTTGATAGAGATCCTGATTAGTTAGAGCGGGTAGACCCAAACCAATTATTGGTTAAACATGTAGCTCCAAAGCAAAGTAAGCTGGCTAGGAAAAAAAAAAAGAGAGGAATACAGAAAAACAACTACTTCTCCATAGGCCAAAGCAAACAGAATAAAGATCACGAGTGAATGGGAAGTGATGCAACGGATATGACGCAGGCACATGATGTTCACGCTAAGAGTAGGGACAGATCTAGGGATTTATCAAGGTCTATTGACCCTAAAAAATCTGTAAATCCTTTAGTAGTGTTGTAATTTAAAGAAAAATTATGTCCGAGTGCATATAAGCCGACCATTTTGTGTGTACTTCACAAGACCATTTTGTGTGCACTTTACAATACGAATGAGCGTGACGCTCGTCTTTATTTGGCGATATCAGTTACCATTCTTATCATGTAGGGCTCAGAATCACCAGGGTATGTGTCTCATAACCATGATCCATGACGAGAAGCTAAATTGTCAAGACACTGAATTCTGAAACGTACAGTTCAGAGTTAAAGTCACGCATGTTGACACTTTTGAGACTCTTTATAACATTTCGGAGAAAAGAGCCTTCTGTTTTTTTACAACACAAAAAAAGAAGAAGAAAAACATCACCACGGGTACAACATACATCTCCGTTAAAGCATACACAGGACAGAGGAAACATAGTAGTAGAATCTCCGAGCACAAAGCTACACCTAGTTCGTAGAACGGAGAAAAAAAGGTGGCTCTGGCAGTAAACACAAGAACGAAACACAATATAGTGGTGCTGAGAAGCTCCAGACTTCAATCACCATGTAAAGCATTTGACGGGGCCTGACTTTATTAGTAGTACCTACGCCAGTATTCGATCACAGGATCGAGAGGGATCATGCATCGGTTGATGCCTGGGTCACCAAAGTGTGTCGATGGCAGGTGTGTTGCTGTCGAGTCCAGCAGCAAAACTGCATTGGGAAGAGCTCACCTGTTACTGACAGTGAGGTGCATCCATGGTGGCAGGTTGCCGCTGTTTGCTTGTACAGGAGCAGGAGACGGTTCAGGCTCAGATTCTCCTGCCCCTCTAGGTTGACATGGCCTACAATTGTGACGATGAGGAAATTAAGTAATTATGCTGGACCACTATTGTAAAGTGCAGTGCACAATGGAAATACCTTTGACAGATTTAGCTAGCAAGGTGAAACCTTATTCTGTTTTCAGGTATGCTTAGCATTCAGCAAAGCTACTCAGGCATGTGTATTTCTACCTTTAACCAATACCCTTCATAAATTCTTCATTTATTAACAAATCTTGGCATAGTTAATCATCAGTGAAACTACTACTTATTATCAATATTTTTTGATAGAAATGAAGCGCAACATTTCAGTTTAGTTGTGTGCAGTAATGAATTCAGTGGAAGCATGATACCCAATATTTAGAGTTGGCATGGAATCTGGAACCATTGGTGGTGACAGTGATGGGGAGCTTGTTGATGCTCCATTTTGCTGCTCCCGGAGGTGTGCGTTCATTAAAGCATTGTTTTTCTCCTTCTCTGCCTCCATGAGCTGTTTTCAAAAATACAATTACCATCAGGGTCTGACCTCCTAGACCAACATTGTCTTTTTTTTTAGAGGACATAAACGAGAAAGGAAACTTTACCTTTTGCAGGACACCATTTTGATCTGTAAGTGCTTTCTCCTGCACACATGAAGACAATTGATTGTAAAGATGCACCACAAATCTTATCAGCAATCAATATTCTGGGATTCTTACAGGTTTGTTGCCAGACCAGCAATAGTTACCACAACTAGTCTGCTCAAGCACTTCGACCTGAGTGCTTTCTTTCTCATTATCCTTTTCACTATTTCATGGTAAAATGCCACTCATAGTAAGCCATTTCCTAAGTTTAGGGCGTCCACCGGAGATCAGTTTCACGTCCAATTCAAACTAACTCATTTCATGCCCCCTCCCCCCTATTCCACCCATGATGCAATGGTTATCAGTTTGTCCTGTCTCCCACTTGAAAACTAACTTGCATTTCCTAAAAATATCGAAGGGTGACCCACACAGATTCACGTCTTCCACTGATGTGTTCCCTATCTGAGACTTGTACAGATAGAGACAAAACTTGATTCTGGTTTAGAGTATATTTCTTACAGTTACGTTCAAAATATATTTCTGTAGCAGTTGCATGATGAATGGTGGCAGCAGATTGCCAATGTTAAACTACATTGAAAATACATTAATCTCAATGAAACATTTGCTCTCATTCCCCAAATTCTGAAGGTGTGCTTGTAACAATAATTTTCACTAGTGACTCATGTAACACATGCAGAATGCGAGGTACAAGGGAATCTAGAGTGTAACTGACCTTTTTCTGAAGCTCGGAAATTGAATCGAACATGAGCTGATTCTGTACCAAAAAAACAAAGCTATAATATAATAATTGACTAAGACGTTAGTGAATAACCAAATTAGCTGCGCACTGAACAACAAATTTAACCCCAATTTATTCACCTTTCTTGACCTAATATGCTTCAAAGAACTGTCCAATTGTTGCTCCAGTTGCTGGAGTTCTTTTATGGTCAGTGAATCCAATTGTTCTCCTTACAGATGCCTTCCGTTGGGAATAGACAGATACAATAAGTCAGAGTCAGTAAACATTATCATAACAAGGGTCATCTTGAGCAAGTCTGCTGTACCTTTGACTCTTCTGAAGTGCATCAAGTTTGGATTTTAACCGGACATATTCATCTCCCCAATTTGCCTGGTATAAAATGGACCACATATCAATGCTCATTTTGCTGTAACAATAGTTCTCTGATAGTTATAGTAGATATTCCCATAACTATACCTGGTCTTCAATACTTGGGTCAAGTACTGCTCTTTCTTCAAATGAGTACCGCTGGTAACGCCCAAGAATGCCTTCCATGCTGCAAAATAAGTATCATATAGCAATGTCATGTTCCAGAAAAAAATATTGTGGTCTCATTTTAGAACATAAAATACTAAGACAAATAGCCAGGTATAATTTTCTTTTTCTTGTACTTTTTATATTACTATATTAAGTATATTAGTCTTGCATACGAGTACAAAACAACAAAATTCACGATGCACGACATTCAATACATCAAGATTTAATTTCTCCCTATTTAAGAAATGCAAGATGCCAAGATGTATACAGGTATATTCTCCCGATTCCAGAACCAGAATTGCAGAAGACATTGGATGAATCACATGCATAACTAGATGCAAGCATGGTTGTGGAAAAACGTGTGTCATCACATGCACATAAGTGGGTTATTACTCAATGAACAAATGGTGCTTCATATATAGTTGCATGAACTCAGAAAGGCTGTTTTAGAACAATGAAACAAGTCAAGACTACATAATGATGTAAAAATAACTCTAAAATGTAGCGAGCTACTCAGTTGCTTGCGCAACCAAAAATTTACATCACTTTGACACTATAATCAGGTGGATCGATTTAATATAATCTTTTAGATAGATTTGGCATCTACCTTCTTTGTTGGGATTGAGCAGTAAAGTTTGTAACATCTTCAGTAAATTAGCAAAAGTATAGTGATATATACATTTTTTAGGAATCGGTTAATATTCTCAATTCAGACTCGTAACTGTAATTAGCACAGTTTTCTATAATCCACAACATATAAAAATGGCTCTACCTTAAACCACGTCATATTATTTTTTCTAAAATAAAATTCATTACCGGCTTAGGTATGACCTGTAGTTTCAGCTAAAGAAAAATGCATCAAGTTTTGCCATGACTCAAGCCACAATCTCTATCAAGTTTGGATCTTATCACCAGCACATATTGCTCGTGTGCAATAGCTAAAACGCGCTTATTGTTTTGTTAACATACATATTTTCCCTCCAGCATTAGAGAGATAATCCAGAGTAAGTTATCTTTCAGTGAAATTTTCCCTGAATCAATCAGTTATATATGAATATACTGCAAGGACAGAATATGTACTCATGCCAATTTATTCTCCTAGAATCTAACTTGTAGCAGCATAAGGTCAAATTGTGCTATAATCAAGCATCCATTTTCTATCATAGCCGTGTTGTTTACTTACTAAATAAAGGAACTAAACTTGAAACTGTACTTGAATATGGGCCAAAGAATCAAACTAATGTTTAAATATTACGATCACCTTGCACACCACTTATATAATACTAAAATGTGGAACACGGACAGTCTCTTAATATATGACACACATGCATGTATCAGAGACACACCACGCAAGAGCAGAATTGTTCTTCTAGAATTTCTGAAAATATTCGGATAAGTCATAACAGTTGTCCATAACTCTTCTACAGCATGGCAGCAACAGCTGTTTCTATAGAAACTAGCTTCTTGGAGTGCGGCAATCTAGCATTTTGGTATTACCCTAGTATTGGTACTTGATTTAAACATGTATGTTTTATAGCGTGAATTAACATTATTAACATTTATGTCAAAAAGTCACAGCAGTTTAAGTTCAAAGGGCCAGTACTTAGAGCGAAAGGTTGGTCTACGAGATCATACATTAAACCACTACTGGTATACGAGGATTCTGATGTTGAGCTAAGTGTCATGGTTAATATTTACAGCAGAATCATAATCAGGATAGTTCAAATATTTCCTCAAAATATCATTCCAAGGATGGCTACACAGGTAAGCAGCTTATCCCATGTATGGAGTGATCAATACTTTATACGTATACCATGTAAAGGCAATAATGTGCCTAGCTTACCTTGTCCCTTGTATGCAATGATCAATGCTTTATACACCATGTAAAGGCAATGTGCCTAAGCAATTTTGTCGGAGAATAATTTACCATATATTACTTATAGGATGGAATACAGGAAGAATGAGTTTGCCTTATACTTTATTCACCTATACCAACAACTGTTCAAGAAAGATCATGGTATCATTACTAACCTGAAAAGAGTAGAAGGGTCACCTTATAGTGAAGAGGCACTCCAAAGATGGAGGTATATGAAATCGTGGTATCAAAGCTGGCAAAGGTAGTTCAAGCCAGCGCTCAAGGGTTAATACCATCTATGGCACCACAAACAGTATCAGAATAAATATGGCAAAAGCTATTTCGTGACCATCAGTCGCGCTCCTGCGTCTGCGTGACCGCGCGACTCGCGTGGCGCGGCCTGGCCTGCTTGCATAAGTACGCGGCCTGGCCTTGCTTGCATGCGTACACGGCCTGGACGCTTGCACCTGCGTCTCGCGTACATACGGCATGGCCTGCTTGCATGCGTGACTCGGCTGCTTGCATGCGCTACGGAGCGTACGGCGGCAGTATTGCGACGCCGTTTTTTTTACTTTTTGTTTTCTTTAGTTTTCATTTTCTATTTTTCAATTTGAGTTAAATTTCTTGGCTGTCAACTTCAGTTTCAGTCTTTTTTTTTCATTTGTATTTTTTCAATTTCAGTTTAATTTCTTGGTTGTCAACTTCAGTATTTCACTTATTATTTTGAGTGCGTTGTATTTTCAGTTTCTATATTCTAGTTTTCAGTCTTTTTTCCAGTGTTTTTTTAGTTTCAGTTTTCAGTCAAGTTTTTTTTTAGTTTTAGTTTTCAGTCTCCTTTTAGGTTCGAATGTTTTCCTAAATACTGTATATTAATTGCCTCACCTACAATGTATAAGTTGTCAGAAAAGGGTAGCCATTGCACACATAAGCTGCCACAAAAGAATTTGTCTCCCAACTTGTGCAACAGCTTCCATGTTTAGGTTCGTTGCAATAATTTGCCCTCAAGTTGTACAACCATAGTATTACATGGTAGTAACTCATTTTGATATTTTTGCCCCCCCAGCTTGTGCATATTGTGGAATAACATAAGTATATTTTTGAGTAGCAATTTTAGTTTTACATGATAGTAACTTCTTTTGATTTTTTGCCCCCGATCTTGTACTAAAAACTTTATTATATTTTTTAGTAGCAAGTTTAATATTACATGGTAGCAGCTCCTTTCATAAATCTCCTAGCACATTTTTACACATAAATAGTTATTGAAATAAAATTCTTTAAAACATAGGTAAGTGGGGTATAGTTTTGTTCGTCTCGTCACGTAAAACACGACGGAATTGAAAACGGATACAACATTCAAAAATTATAGCCGTTCAAAGAAAAAACGTTGTGCTTTTTTTTGTTTGTTTCAGCTGACAGCTAGCTGGCTGCAAATGGATACTTTCCTAAAACGGGATTGGTCGGGTCACGGAGGAGAGGAGTGGAGTCGCGCGGAGGGTGGTCGCGCTCTCTCCTAAAAGCGCGACGGTCGCGCGTTAACATGGCCCAATAAATATGGATGAGGTTGAAAAGTGTAGAGTATCCTAAGCAAATCCTGGTGGCAAATAAATAAGATATTCCAAAGATAAGAGCAGAATCCTGATAAGGCGATGCATTATGTAAGAGCCTTCAGTTGTGGCTCCACCTGTGGAGTTGGAGAGCTGAAACCGTTTTTTGATCGTTTGGCAAAACAGCTTCTCCAAATAGGCGAAAAAGGTAAAATATCCAAACTATCCCTTTTTTCTTTTTTTCCTTTCCTTTCGTTTCTTTCTTTTTTCCCTACCTTATTCGTCGCTCGTGGTCCAACCGACGCGTAGCGCGAGACGCAACCTCGGATCCTCTTCTACCTCCTCGGTCGCCGCACGCCATCTCGCCGAGGCTCGCGCCTAGGGTCGCCCGGTGACCCGCGATCTCCTCTTCTACCTCCGGTCGCTGCACGCCATCTCGCCGACGCCCGTGCCTAGGGTCGCCCGACGACCCACGCTCCTGCGACCCCTCTTCTACCTCCAGACGCCGCACGCCATGCCGCCGCCCACGCCTGGGGTCCACCCGGCGACCCACGCTCCCACGGTGGCGGCCCTCGACGACCTGCGCTCCTGCGGTCGCGCCCCTGGCGACGCTACTCCTGCACGGCTAGTGGGGGCAAATCTACCATCGTCCTGCGCCTGGACCCACAGCAAGTCACGGAGCCGGGGAAGCTAGTTTTTCTGTCTCCCTCCCTCTCTCCACTCTCCTCTCAGTGCCTTTTCCGGGGCTCCGCGCGAGGAGCGCCTCCATTTTTTGCCTTTTGGTTGAGGGAGCCGAAAAACAACTCCCGGAGCTATCCGAGAATCTATACCAAGCGGCTCCTAAGAACTCATTGGCCCCGGTCGCGTGCCCTTAAACCCGGCTTGATCCGCTTATTTTTTCATCCTGAATAGTGTTTTTCTCTCACAAATTCCTCCAAAGATTCCTCCAAACCTTCCAGATTCCTCCGTAATTCTGACAACGCGAACAGTGCCCATTATCTCTAAAGACTGCATATGTTGCATTCATAGGGATTTATAAATTAATTTTGTAACACAACATTTAGTAATATGTTTAACATCGAAAGTAAATGCAGATAATCTATAATAATAAATCAAGGTGAGTGCAAACAATTTCCAGGGCAGAAAAATTTATTTATGACAACAATTCCAACAAACTGAGAATAAAACAATTTTGGATAGTGCAGGTGAGTTTGATGCTCCTTGCTTGGCTCTTGGCCTTGCATGGGCCATGGTTCCATGGCACACTTCCATATTGGCACCAATTCCATGCATGCATCCAGGTTGCGTTCAGAATTGATCACTTGGACGATCATACTAAAAAAGTGTCGAGGACCCACAGATGGAGACAAAACAGGCTCGTAACGGGTCTCTTGAGCCCGTCTCCACGATGTGAATTTTGCGCAAAACACCCCGCCGACGCCAGGAGACGGGCTCGCCGTCGTCTCGTGAGGCGACGGGAAATCCCTGTGGCCCGAGGCCAAGACGCCGTCTCCAGCAGCGTTGTATGGGTAGCTGGCGTCCCCAACCCGAGGGCGTGGATCCAGTGCGCGCAAGCGGTCGTGGCCTTCCATCCTTCAACGCCGGCGCCGGTGTCCGCTC